TGATGGACAGTGATACTGAAGATGAAAGCAATAGTACTGGTAGCTCTTCTGCACTGAGAGTTGCTGGACTTGCCACATTGCAGCAAGTGCCTGCGCGTGTTTTCTTAGGAAAGCTTGGCCGTGAAAGCCAAAACAATCCTGTCAAAAAAAGCCGTATGCGTGCGCAATGGTCCAGCTATGCCACGCTACAAGAGAAAGTGGTTGGGACTGACTTTTGAACCTTTCGCGAACCTTTCGCGAGCTTTCGCCCACAGTGTTTTTGCATCATGTGTCCCCGTGCTTATAAATTTTTAAACATGGGTTTTTGGACGATCCCCATATGGCCCAATGTAGGTAAGATTTACAGACTTTAGGGCCCAATGTAGATACGGTAGTTTCCCTAAATAGGGGGACCCCAATATAGACCCCAAAATACTAAAGTCCTTATTATGGGGAACCCTAAAAAGGTACCCCTAATTTTGGGAAACTACCATATTATTTGTATACCTGGATCCCTAGGGTTGCACTTGCAATCCATTCTGTTTGATTCCCTAGTTCGTGGACAAGAACCAGGAAATTGTGGGTGGCCAGGCTGCTGTACACGAGACTGCAGCTCCTGAAGTGGGACGCTCCGTAGAATTTGGCGAAGGAAAATCTCCGACTGGACCCCATCCTGTCGGCCAAGCTATATGTACGGGAGTTTGCGAAAATTCTGGGTCCATTCTTGGGGGTCTCCATGATACGTATTGTTATCTATCGGGCTCTATATTGGGGTCCCCTGATTTCGGGAAACCCCTTATGGGAATGGGTTTAGGGCGTTAGGGGCAGGAGTAGTGACTTGGTTTAAACAATTCGCGCTGCGGAGAACAGGCGTCCAGTTCTTTAAAACCAATATTTAGCCAAAAGATTGAACATTTTTTTTTTGCCGGTGCGCCTTTTTTCCAAACAACCGCGCGATGATTTTCGAGTTCCGAAGCGGATGCGGTAGTTGAGGCTGACCCCTGGCGTAGTCCGACGCGGGGTCGCCCGCTTAAAGCGTTTCACCACAGAAGAAAAGCCAATTTTCGCATTCTGAGAGCATTCTCTGCCAAGTTGACTTGGAAAACGCTGAAAATCAGGGGTGTGAGAATGTACTGTGCCTGCCAATCAAACGAAGCTTATGGCAGCGTTTCGAAGCATACGGAGATGCTCAAAATGCTGGCTTGCATAGCAGGGTCATGCATCGAGCGCATGGGCAAGTTCGCGCCGGCTGTCGTGTCCACTGGCGCGTTTGAACTGAAGACGATGCGCAATTCTTACGAGCAGCGCGCGCAAAAAAATTCTCAGCGGACGCTGAAACTATTCGGCCCCCAATGCGGATTATCGTTATTATGATTCTGGCATGGATGGTGTGATGTAATCGTGTGCTCTCAGGGATGGGTGCCACTATGGTGCCGGATGCTTTGGTTGCTGTATGCTCTCAGGGATGAACATTATTATGGCTTGGGCAGGACTTCTCACCAGCTTGCACAAATGCGGCGACTAGAATTTTAAATCAGAACTCCTCACCAGCTTTGACTAAGCGGGCGTATTTTGAACTAATGGGAACGATGATTGGACTAATGGGGCGCTGGCGTAGCTTGGACCAATGGAACGATCCTTGGACTAATTGGGCGTAGCTTGGACTAGTGGGAATGATCCTAGGACTAATTGGGGGTTTTTGGACTGATGGGGTGTAGCTTGTGCGTATGGATGCTCTGGTCATAGGATGCTCTCGAACATGAACAATAATATGTCTCGAGCCTCGGATGAATGACCTGGACTGGCCTGCGAAATAATTACCAAGTTGCGGTCCTGGATCCCTCGCACAATTGTGGCATAGGGTACCCCAAGCAAATCTCAATATGATTTAAGGCGCCATTGTATGCCCAGCGTTGCTCCATCCCAACTCCCCTTGACGCTTAGGAAGGACCCGGAATGTTTCTATCCTGCAACGGTTCAACGTAGGAGTCATCCCGGCATCTTGTGCGTCAAGCCAAGTACAAGATACTGTTGAGACAGGCTTCTGTTACGGCTACCTTCAAAGCGCTATCATTACATGGTGGACATCATTGATCGCCTTCAGAGTACTGATTTGGGGTTTGATAAGTGGCCACCTTGACAGCGGCGGAGGTGTCTAGGGGGCTCCTTACACCCCCACTTCCTGATAACTCACTCCTGTTAAAAACCACATATCTGTCTAATGTCCAGGGAAGAAAAAACCCCAGGCGTGGAACTCGAAGTTGCAAACGTTCGATCCAACTTTTTGTATCTATATCTTCACTCTGCCCCCTCTTTCCTGAACTGTAGGGTTTATGGACTAGGCTTTCGGATTTTTGGCGCATCAGGGTGCGGGTTCTGGGTGTAGGGTCCCCAAACCGTAAACCTCTGCAAGCTGCCCAGCCTTTAACGCTTGCCCGGCCGCAGTGAGGCTGCGCTCCTGTTTTGTGCGGTTTGCAGATTCTATATGGGCTGCAATCCAGGAACTTTGCTTAAATTAGTATAATGACTATCTTGTGCGGATCTGTCCATTTCTTCTAGCTTCCGTCAAGTTCCTCAACAGCAGCCCGGCCAAGCGCCAAGCGCTGTCACCTTCAACGGCTTCCATTTACCTCGCTTTGCAAAGTCGCCCAAAAACCGAAACCCAAACCTAAACCCCGAGATGCGCACATGCAAAGAAGTCCCCAAACCTTAAGCCCCTGTCTTGCCAAATAACCTTATATGGGCCATAGGCGGCACATTTTGAAGGAAATCCTGCTACTCCTCTGTTCCCCAAAGCTTAAGACAGAAGTTAGAAGTCCTCGCCCGCGGCGGCGCCCAGGAGCCCCAGCAGGGCTTCGAGAAGCTCCTGGTAGCGTAGGAGTTGGAGGAACGAGAAGTAGCAGCAGCAACAGGAGTATTGGGTGGTGGTAGCAGTAGCAGCAGCAGTGAGAACAGCAGGAGTAGTAGAGTTGTAGCAAGAGTGGGAGTCGTCGCCATCGCCATCCTACTGCTACCGCGATTACGACAGCTACTACGACGACTACGACTACGTAGTACAAGAAGAAGAGAAAGCCTTGCAATGTCACTAGCAACTCTTTCACAACCGAAAGGAAGCAGCAAGCATGATGACAGCTGCAGAGGGTCGCTGCTAGAAAATGAAACTTGTAACTGCTCGCCCTGCAGAGCTGCTGCTGCTGCTGATGATGATGATGATGATGGTGGTTTGCAAAGATTGCAACAAATCCTACCACGGATTTCCTATGCACTCTTCAAAGTATTTACGTAAGTATGCTTGTATTATAGATATGGTCATCCTTCCACTGGCTGCTGTATCTGTGCAAGACCTAAAAATCTTGAAAGTATCTGTGAAGGGCGGCAGAGTGAAATTCAGAGATTATCCGGGCTGTGGCTCGGATTGGGGGTTGCCTCTACATCCCAACGCAGTGGGATCCCCTTCTTCAAAACCGTTAACGAGGGACACCTTACTTTGAGACATGGCTCTCTCAGGATCAGGACATACATCCTTATCGGCCGCTCCCTTACACTCCTTCCCCTCACTCCTCGCCCATTTTGCAATCTGTTTAGCTTACGCCTGCCCAACCAGCCACTTTGTGCTGGCTTTTCGGCAGCTGCCAGCCCGTGGGCGAGACTGGGATCCAGTCTTGTGAGAGTCCACCTTGCTCCCTGACGGAGCCATCAAGCCATCAAGGTGCGCGCAAGCGCATAGAGATGTCATATTACTCAGGGCTCTGGAGTAAAGTATGGTCTATTAGGGTATATTAGGGTGTAGTAGTATGGGTATATAATATGGTATTTTAGGGTATATTTGACCCAGTACTCAATGAGCCTTGATGCCACTTTGGGCAGAAGCCTAAGAATCCTGAACTAAGCAGCTTCTACGCATGAAGGGCCCGGCATGTTCCCACTGAACCTGGCATGCCTTACACTTATAGAAGGCCTCTCACAGAACAATATGCGGTTCAGGGTTTAGGCCTTGAAGGGGGTGATATAGGGGATTATGCAGGGGAGTATTTGAGGGGTTGTAGATGGACTCCCAGAACAGGAGGCTCATGGATTTGGAAGCTGCCAACACTACTAAACCCTAAACCCTAAACCCCTAAAACCCTAAACCCCTAAAACCCTAAACCCCTAAGCCTTGGACGAAACTGCAAATCTGTACACCAATGCCCAAACGGAGAGCCACCCGGTGGCCACAGCTGCATCCTTAGTCGTCCAAGATCCTAGGTTCTTTGGGGGGTTTAGGGTTTAGGGTTTAGTTCCCCTTAAGTAGATAGAATATGGGGTATATGGGGATCTTATAATAATGTACCCAAAGCCATATTCTATCACTTTAGGGGAACTATATGTCATCTTCGCAATATTCAGCTGATCTTAGCGCTCTACTCTGAGGGCACTGGACTTTACGCGCAGTGGCGTTTTCCGCTCTTGTATCCAGAAGAAGCTGCCACGCAAACGCTTGCAGGATCACACCTAAAATGACAGATTCCATTTTCTTTTCCATTATCCCAATATAACCCCAATGTAACCCATAATATACTAACACCTATTTGTAAAGGCTTGGCCCTCTGACCTCTGAGCACTTGACTCTCCTTTCTCTGGGCTTCTGGTAGACCACAACAAAAGCTGTTCAGGGAAGAATTTGTAGCCGACAAAATCGACAATCATTGCAGGTGGCCTCTAGTAACCCTGAAATGTAAACCGGAGAGCCGAGGCCCTAGCCTCAACATTGGGACGCAACCAAAACGCGGTTGCTGCCAAGGATTTTAAAGTCGAATTACTATAATGAGGAAACCTTTGTTACTTTAAATCGATCCAAATTTTGCGTAACTTGATCAACCGAAACCCTTGTAACAGCCACCCAGCGTAGCTCCCGAAACCTGCACCCAGGTGGCCAGAAGAAAGGATCGTCGAAAGCCAATTCCCGCAGGAGGCAGCTGTGAGACGAAACCCCAAATCAGGGATCCTCAGGGGTTAAAGGTCTAGGGCTTAGGGTTAGAGACGTAAAGGTCTAGGGTCTAGAGGTAAAAGAATTCAAAGTTTGGGGCTTTCTTCAGGTTGAAGAGTTCTAGGTGTGTAGTTCTCAAATGCGCACCCCTATGAGAGGCATGCATTGATCTGATATAACCCCGTTACCCTCATGTGAGCACTACAGTGGAAGAAATAGCAGCCTTAGTGTTGCTAAGTTCCCTGGTAAGGGTCTTGGTCTACGAGAGGGGCTTAGACAATACCGCAATTGCCACCACAATCACCAACCCTAAACCGTAAACCCTGAACCCTAAACCCTAAATCCCTAACCCTAAATCCCTAAACCTGGAATGGAACCATGCTTGTTATAATCGAGTGTATCACTGCCCAACTTCGTCTTGGAAGACTTTTTGGGTTTTCCTAAGGTTAAGCCATTTCGGGGGTCCCCATAATACGATTATATACTGGGGTCTACTTTGGGGTCCCCCTAATTAGGCAAACTGCCATGTCTATGCAGCTCCCGAAGTCCTGCAGCAAAGGCGACGTTGAAATAGATGCCTCATTCAAAGGACAGGCAGCTCAGCATTTGGTTTAGGGTTTATAGGGTTTAGGGTTTAAGGCGCCGGGCTGACAGATTGCCGAAATTGCCGAACCAAGTGCGGTAATCACTGCCAACTATAATGTGATATATGGGTTTAAGGTTTTGGGGTGAGAGTTTAAGGTTTAGGGTTTACCATGGCACACTTTGAGTGCTTTGATACCTAGGTGGCCGTGGACGTTGCTTTTGCCCGCCGGCATTAGAAGAATTTCTCCTTGACATCCGTGTCACCAAGAGAAACAAGGTCTTTACCTCACGTAACGTCAGTGCTATCCAGAATTCTCAAACAGCATGAAATATCGCCTGGAAATGCATTGGGTTTTCTTTTCCTACTAGCATTCACATATCATGAAGCAGGCCCCGCCTAGCTTCAAGGCACATCCAAACTACCAATTGATGGTAGCCACGGATTCATGCAGGGAATCTATTGTTTCCAGCATTCTCCTCATGTGAGCAATGATCACAACTTCTTGTACCAACACGTACATGCAGCACAGATGGCATTCCTATCTAGCGTAATGTAACCTTTGAAAAAACCTTGCTTCCTATACGCCTATGTCATCCACTTTTTTGAATATTTACATGTTCTCATGTGCAGCTGCCTCTTTAGGTCCAGACTCTATCCCAAACAGCCGTCATGTATGGCCTACTTCCTTCCAGGGAACCTTTCGCGTTGTACGTTCTGAAGGCTTAGGGGCATGCATGAAACTGGGGCTGCGCAAGAGGAAGCATCAAAGCATAATGGGCCCATGACTATTATCCTTTCCCACCTGTCTACTGAGGTTCCCCCACACAAAGCACAAGACCCTTCGACTCCAACCCTCTCAACTTGAAAAAACAAGCCGGCACATTGTGAATTACGAATGCCAGCAAAAAAGGATAGTGTTTTGGAGACTGCAGTGCATCACTTGGGTATACTTCGGGATTTTGCTACCTAGCTCTACGCCCCATACACAAACATAGATCCATGTTCGTGTGCGTTTGACTCTCCGGGAAGTGTAATATCCCTAAACCCTTAACCTTAATCTCTAGTCATTGAATCAAATCCTAAATTCTAAGCCCTCACCCTGACTACTCCCTAAGCCCTATTACAAGGTTAGAATTGGGGCCCGTCTAGGCGGATGCAGCTGCAAGCCCCCAGACCTAAAAAGAACATTATTTCTAGATCCTCAGGGTTCTACTATAAACAAATTTAACCCTGAACCCTAAGTCTTAAACCCTAAGCCCTAAAGCTTAAGCCCTATCATAAACAAGGACATAAGCCGCAAGTTGCCACTTAGGGTTCTACAAAAGTAAGAATTTAACTCTGAAAGACTCTAAACACTAAATCCTAAACCCTATGCCCTGAACCCTAAACCCTAAACCCTAAATAGTAGTTTCCATTTTCTTCCATTATCCCTATACAAGCCCTATATCATATTATACACCTATAAAATCTAAACCCTAAACTGCAGGCAAGTTGAAACTTAGGGTAATACTATGATATCAAAATCACTCAAAACCCTAAACCCTAAGCCCTAAACCCTAAACCCTAAGCCCTAGAGCCTCAACCCAAAACCCTAACCTGCAAACAAGTTGCCACTGATTAGCGCCTGCATCTTGGCCTCAGTCCCAGGCCTCGACAACCGGCGGGCATACCTCGGTTCTGAGCTGGGCAGAGAAGGGTTTAGGATCTGGAGTCTAAGACTTTGGGTTTGGGTTCAGGGCTTCGGGTTGAGGATTTAGGGTTTAGGGTCTAGGGTTTAAGAAGTTGGGTTTAGGATTGAAGGTTTAAGGATAAGGGTTTAGGATTTGGGGCTTAAGGATGCGGGGCTAAAGGGCTTGGGAGTTAGGGTTTGGCGTTTGAGAGAAAAGGTTCGAGGATCAAAGACTATAGAATATTCTATTACCTTGCAGTAGCTTGGGTTTTCCCTAGCTGGCGTCTGAGGGTTAGGTATAGGGCTCAGGGCATAAGAGTTTGAGATTGTGTAGGGTTCATGGCTAAGAACTGAGGGTTTAGATGAGTTTCAGGTGAACAGTCTTGGCTAGGGTAGGTTTGTGGGCCTAGATTTTTTTGTGGCGTTATATGGTTTTATATGGATTAAGGGTAATAAGACTTACACATAGTTTCAAACCTACCCCTACCCACCACATGCAGAACACCTTTTGCATAAACTTTACGTGACATGTGAAAAGGAAACCCTATCATGTACTATGTACCCATTTAAATTATGGAAAACTTAACTGTTAAGTTCCTTAACAGCAACCCAGTGAAGCGAAGCCCAGTTGCTCAACAACGGCCGTCCACACCCCCGCAAAGGTCAGCCCATGCAGGGGCTCCACCAGAAGTACCAGCCATGGACTAGGCCGTAGTTTAGGGTTTAAGGCTGAGGTTCCAAGTTTCAGGTCTGGGATTTAGGTTCAGGGCTTAAAGTTTGGGGCTTAGGGCTGCTGCTAGACCCAAATACAATGACATGGATACGTGGTAGTTAGGTGCTTTTGCTTGATGTACTAGAAGCCCCAATTTGAGGATAAGGACGAGTTCCAGGAACATATGCCGGGGGCTGACAAAATAGAGTCCTTCAATCCATCATGCAAAGCCCACCTTAACCCCCAAGGATCTCCAATCCAAAGGCTCGAAAAGAATTCAGAGAGTCAAATCGAGAAGCTGGCTGCGCGGTAGAATCGCGTACAGCAAGCACCGAAATACCATGACCTGACGTTGGGTACTGCCCCACCCATCAGCTATCCATAGTCCTGATAATGTTGACGGCTCTACATATTCAGCGTCCCAATTATTTTCAGCTGCCCAATCTTGGGGTATTCAAATCCGAGTGAACAAGGATGCTGCATGTCATTTGTTTTGCGGAATCCTCATTGTACTCAGCCTGATTAATTACCCTAAACCCTAAAGCATCTTTGGACTCAGAGCCTGCCGCACAAAACATGTACCAGGTTTAGGGTTTAGGGTTTACCGTGGACCAAGAAGGCAATGAAGGTTTAGGGTTTTGAAGGTGTCCCTCGTTTCGAACATCTGCGGATTTCCAGACTTCAAGGGTCCTTCCTTCAGAGTACTCATCATCAGGAATATCGTGTTCTGAGGTACACAAAGGAAACCTCTGTTTTTTGTTTTGGAAGCTCCCATGCCTCAAATCCGATCAAATCCCACATGTTGGGGAACCCTCATTCCACTCCATTTAAGCGCAGTCATCACTTCTTCCTTCCCTTGTCCCAAGGGGAGAAGCAGCTCCTGGATTTGGGTAACCGCAGCCTCCCAAATTCATCCATGACTTCCATAGGGCAGCAAAACCCTGCTCTATTTCAGGTTGGGGTAATCGAAGCCCTGTTTTGGAGACCATGCTAAGCCGTCGACAAACTCCGAAGCCCAAAGGACAGTGACGAGACTAAATCCGCGCTTGTTCCAGAGGTCGCCGATGTACTTAAACCTGGGTGCTTTCAACGAACTTAAACGAAGTCACCATGATATGGTTATGTAATAAATAAAAGGGTTAAAGTTAGGTCTCTTAACAGCAACCCAGAAACACTGGGATCTCGAAGGTACACATGACCTTGATCCAGCGCACTTAGGGTTTGAGGCTTTTCAGTTTAGGGTTCTAGGATTTGGGAAGTTCAGGGTCTAGTGAGCACACGGCCCTATCGTAATCCACAGGGCTTTGGTTTTCGAGGGGTTATGGATTAATGGCAGTTAAGGCTGTCAGGCGCACATGACCTTGCTGGCCAAGCAAAACCTGTTGGAAAGCGGATTTGCCAGCCAGGTACCGCGGCCTTCTGAAGCTGGAGTGGCTTCTTTCCAGATCCACTACTCCCGTCACCCTAGGTAGGCAAACTACGAAACACTAGTCACCAGTGTTATATACCGTTAGATATGTATTACGAAATACAGGACACTCTAGTCTATAGGATACTTGGGTTATGCTTCGGGTGTTCGCTTCCGAGCAATCAGCAATTCAGTCGGTGTTCTGCAATTCGCTTGAGCATATGCTGGGTCCACAGCTAAGACAAGCCCCAAAAGCCCGCTCAAAGGCAGAAGTCCCTCAGAAGACTTTGAGGCAGGCCAAGGGTTCCCCCCCCTTCGAGAGTCCAGGGTTTATAGGGAATCATGGGGAAAACTTCCTGAAGCTAGAGAGACCAGACCCAAGGGGACCAGAGAGGAACCTGAAATCTCCTGGCCGACCCTGATGTCAGCCGCCGCGACAATGATACACATGTGTGGGCTTCTCAAAACAGGGTACATGTAGGAACCGATTCATACGTGAGGGTTCGAGGGGATTGCTTCCATGAGACTAATTAGCCTGAAGCATCACATCCTCTTCGAAGCCCTCCATGAGGTCTGTACAGGTCGGTATATACCCCCTGTGGGGTTTCATGCTCTCAGTGCACAAGCTTGTGTATGCGTGTTGGTTTGTCCTTTGCCCGTAACACCTGTGCGAAAGAAGTTGTCCAGCAGATGCCAGAAGCCGAGCAGAAGCCACAGATAGCGTGCAAGTGTGTTGGGACCTAGTCTGTTTCCAATGTTCCAAGTCTGTGCCTGAGAAGGACGTTGCTGTTCGGCCAGGGAGCCGTTTCTAACCTGCACCTGCTTGCAATATCTTCTTAGCCCTTCTAGATCCCATTCTGCAATTATCCTGCTGACGAACGTATTTTCCGGTAGGCCCCAATGCCCTGCAATACCCTGCATCTTACTGAGCCGAAGCTCGGCAGTCGCAGCCCCAAGGATGACTTTGGGAACGTTGTCGAAGTCTTGCACGAGGAAAACCTAAGCTGCTCGTTTCGGGCTTACGACTTACTTAGGGTTTACGAAACGTGGAAGGTGGAAAGCAGCCTTGAAAGGCTGCTGCCATTTCAAGAGGGTTCTGTCCAAAGTTACATGCAATAAGGTGTCCTGTTCTTGTGCCCCCCAAACCCCAAACCCTTAATCATGGCTGTCGCCCTTGCTGCCAAGAAACATTCAAGTAGTTTTCCACCAAAGACGTCGAGAGGCCGTACATCAAGAGGTTGACTAGCATCCAAATGGGCTCAATTTTCCAAAGGTCGGCCAGCCACTCGCGCGTGGATATGCGCCTCGCCCCTTGCGCGGTTTCCGGCCCAGCAGGTATGTCCTGAACAAAGAGCTGCACAACCAAGACATTCAGGCCCACCAGGACGCCGTAGGAGACGAAAATGGCGTTGGTCCCGAAAATGTCTACGAGTTTCCCTGCAACCAATGCCATGGCGCCCCATCCTCAGTTGCGTTTCAGAAAAATCTCAATCTTCACGCAGAGATGCCATTTGTGAGATGGCCCCTTGAATGTCGCTCTCTGTTCAATGTGGTGTTCACGTTGGCTTATACAGTCAGCCTCATGAGAACAGAAAACACTGGCGAACCATAGCTGCTGCGACGACTTCTACTTCTACTTTGCCTGCTACTTCTGCTTCTACTCTGCACCTACTGCTACTGGCGGTGGTAGTAGAAGAAGTAGTAGAAGTAGTCGTAGTAGTTCTACTGCTGCAGCTGCTACTGCTGCTGCTGCTACTGCTGCTACTGCTACTGCAGCTACTGCTGCTGCTGCTGCTACTGCTACTGCTGCTACTGCTGCTACTGCTGCTACTACTGCTGCTACTACTGCTCCCGCTGCTACTACGGCTACTACTGCTACTACTGCTACCACTGCTACTACTGCTACTGCTGCTACTACTGCTACTACTGCTACCACGACTACTGCTGCTACTGCTACTACTACGACTACCACTCGACTACTACTACGACGACGACTACGACTATGACTGCGACCGCGACTACCGCCGCCACTACCACTTACTACTGCACGGACGACTACTTTACTAGTTCTTCTTGTTCTTCTTCGTTTTGCTCTTCTTCTTTTTCTACGGCTTCTCCTCATTACTCGCCAATTTGCTGCGACTATGACTATACAATGGGTTGACTTATTTCTGTTTTGCCACTGTCGACCATTCTTACTTGCACTTGCCACCGCGATAAACGCAATTAAAACAAGGACGGTCAATTAGCCAACGGACGCCAGAGAGGATCTCCGCTTGTCGCATCTTATGGTTTAGAGTGCTGATCCCCTACTACAAAACATAGCCCTCTTGCACATACTCCTCATCAATATATGATGACCGCCCATGCCTAAATGCTCCCCAATACCTAACTGTATCATAACACTGGAGAGTATTTAGTTGCAGGGCTTGCCGGTGTGTGGCGTTCCGTATTGGGAAGATGGCATGAAACTCACATCCCAAAACCAATAAGAACCCCAAAATACATATATATATATGTATATATACATGGTAGCATTGACATATATGTTGCCTTTTATTCAGAAAAATCAGTAGTCTAAAGTGGGTGCTGCAGTGGGTTGTTAAATTTCGAGGGCAGGTGGTTTCGCTTCCCAGTATCCCACCGCGCTCCACAGCCGTTGATCTCCGTAAGCCTCTGCGGAGCCCTCCTTCGAGCGCTGTGCTAGAACCTGACGACCAATGGGGCCCTCAGGGACCTCAGGACCCTAGGGTAATATGGGGATCACAAGGAAAGTAGTGTTCCTATGCAAAACTATGTAAGGATGATTTCCAACTTTTGAAAAAGACTCATATCTTGAAGTAGGAGCTTACTGAGGGTCGAGGCTTCACGATTCAGGTGCAGTGGTCGCGGATCAGGGATATAAGCTCTAGGTCCAACAGCTTCAACACGCGCACTACGCAGAAAGTACAGCTGAGATCCTAAATTCCTAAGCCCCTACACCCTAAATCCTGAAACAGCCCCCCCGCACCACACCGCGCCCTCCCACCCCCCCCACAAGATTTTCCCGTTGGCTGCCAACCTGCAAGAACAAATTTAGCTCAAGCTTCTGTTGTGGGCCTGCACATGCTTCATTTTGATTGCGCATAGTCTTTCCGTTCCAGAACCCATGCAAGATGCACCCATCCAAAGTTCAAGTGTACCCTACTACAGGAAACCAGATATTCCGCCTACAATCTCCCTATATCCCTGGGTTGCCTAGGGGTACCGGTTTAGGCTTTAGGGTACCTCCACTTGAAAAAGTACCCACTCTAAACCCTAAACCCAGGTATCCCCACCTTCAGGCACAAACCATCCACGATAGGGCCCGCAGGGGCCGTCAGGAATCCCTGCACTGGCCATCTTAAAGCAAAGCAAAGCCGATTTCGGTTTCGGGTTTAGGATTTAGGCGTTTTCCTGTATGAGCTATAGCCTGAACCCCTTGAAGGGGTGTACATAGGGGAGTATTATAGGGGCTACAAAAGGGATACTAGGAAGTTAGACTGTAGCTCATATGAACCCCTAAATAATCCCAGTTTCCATTTCATTTACCCTAGCCCTAACCCTAAACCCTAAATAGTAGTTTCGATGTTGTTTTCCATTGTCCCTATATACACCATGATTCAAGGCGAGGCCCGGTGAGGACGCTTAAATGTGCCCAGCCTGCAAAAGCGTTATGAGAATTAGCAGGGGTAGGTTTTGGCCAACTGCAGGCAACATGTAGGAGAAGACGGTACCGATGCCAAGCCTGGCGTCATGGACTCATCCGCTTAGGGTTTAGGGTTTAGGGTGATTAGAGTTTGAGGTTCATCTAGGGGTTAGAATGGGATGATGAGTAAGGCCCTTTTTCAGACGTACGAAGTTATGTTGTGTCGAGTGGGGCTTCAAGTTTGCTGAACATGCAAAAGGCAGCCTAATGGGAGTCTCCCACCTTTAGCACCCGCAAATGCTGCAGGCGCCGTCGTTACAATAATTGCGATTTATGTTCTTGTTGCTTCATCTTCATTATCATTGCTACTGTTTGAAACACTTTCCAATGATGGCCAAGAAGCAAGCTGGTGAAAGTGAGGATGGCCCTATAAGCGCCAGATCGGTCCACAATGGAGGACCAGAAGAAGCCCCCGATGAAAGCCATCATGGGAACCAACACGAGCAGTAGACCCATTACCTGAGTGTGCTTCCTTCACATTCCCCTATAGAACTTAAACCCCCAAACCCGAAACTGCAAGCTCAAAGTCCTAAATCCCTCTAGCATCTTGCTGGGGCTAGAGCAGTGCATCGAGGGTCCAGACCCACATGCAAAACCAATGTGAGATTGGCCTCAAGACGTGCAACTGGGGAAGAAGCAAGTACCAAAAAGGGTCAAAAAGGGTATAAATCATGCACAGGCCTGCAAAAAAAAAGGGCAGGCTTTTGGGCTCCTTCTACCACCAGTCCAAACAGGATGGCAAACAAGTTCTACCTACCAAGAATCCTGGCAACTGTTATATTTCTAGAAGAGGGATCCTAGTCCTAGTAAGGCGAAGTCTGAAACAACCAAAACAACCATGTAACTGAGAAACCCTACGCCCTAATCTTCTACTTGCCCTGGACCGGAACCCTCCCAAAAAGCAATTCTAGCACTTCATTGGACTCCTTCAACAACAGCAACCATTAGTCTCAAAACGCTGCTAGAATCGGTTTAGGGTGTAGAGTTCATAGCGTTTAGGGGAACTCAAAAACCCCTGAGCTCAGTGTCGCACCTTGCGGCTCAGGCCCAGGTCGTGGTAATAGATGGTGATGAACCGAATCAAGCAGACGTTAGCCCCGAAGAGGAGCATCCTTATGTCTACAGTCTCCTTAGACCTATAACAGAAATACTATGTTTAATATTTCCTTAGGGGTATACTATAATAGAAACTGAATATAGTCCCGTAGGACAGTACAGACGTTATCTTATGTTTTCCAAAAGGAACGCTTTTTCAGAACCTGGAAGATACAGGAAGCTTCCTTTGTGCCCTAAAGGCTTGTACCAGAGGATTTGGGATCCCCAAACCATGGAATTTACCGTTAATCCGGGTATGTGGGACCTCGCACCTAGGGTTCAGACATTCAGGGTACAAACTTGAAACCTTCGAGCAAAACATTTGGACTTGTGGAGAAGAAGCTCCCACAGCCAGGACATTTTCCAGGCTGACGTCAACTGAGGGTTAGCATTGGGTTGTACCTGCGTACATATGCCTCACTCTGAACTCTACTAGCCGTAAAATGAAAACACAAAGTCTATACACCTTCCGCCTAAGCCTAATTCCTAACTTCCTAAACCCGCTTTCGAACCGTTTTTGCTGAGAGTCTGGGTCATCTTTAGCACCCAAAGAGGCGTCACTTGCACAGGCGCTGACGGCTTGGCATCCTTCCTTAGGTCAAAGTTTCCCAAAATTAGAGGTTACAATTTGGGTCAATCCCCCACCCAGTAATGGGTACCACAAGGGACTATTGTAGGTATATTCGGGCCTTATTAAGTCCATGTTAAGGAGCTATTGCTATAGGGGGGATTGACCTAAATTACAATAGCTTGCTTGACAATAACTTACCTTCAAGGGGATATAGCTGTTACAAAGGGTCCAGGGTTGAGGGCTTCGGAATTCCCCAAATTAGGGGTACTATTTCGGGGGTCCCCCTAAAAATTCCTAAAGCAGGACAAGACTATATTGGGCTCTATATTGGGGTCCTCCTATCTGAGGGAAACTACTTGATCAAGTTTAGGTTTGAGGGTTCAGGAGTAAGGGTTATAGGGTTTTTGATTAATTAAGGGTTTCAGGTTTCAGGGCTACGGGTTACGCAATGTACACATTGGAGACACCCTGCTCTGCAAAGCATGACAGGAGCCTTTGCCAACTACAATAGACAGTCTTGACACGCACCCTAGGCCTGAAGCCCTGAACTCTTAACTTCGAACCTGGAACCTTTAACCCTAAACCCCGCGGCCAAATCCCCCAACCGAAAACGTTGACCCGCAATACCTAGACCCGAGGACTCCCAGAACTCTAACCCCTATGGCCCTAAGCCCTAGAACCCTAAACTCTCATCCCCAAACCCTAATTGCTTAACCAGGCAGGCATCAGCTGTACAGGCTCTGATGACGTGTGGAGGGCAACCTTACCAACGCTCAGGTTGACTGCGGCAATGGGATGGGTTTGGGGTTTCAAAGGTTTGCCAAGAAGAGGAATACCCTTGGCATACTCCAAATGACAGAAAGTCGATGTATAAAGGCCTCAGCCAGATGACCCCTAAGTTTTGGAACCCCCACAAAATGGGGACGATTACAAGGATAATTCTGGGCTGTTCTAGGAACTCATTCCCCCAATCCCCCTAACTTGAATTGATGTAGTAGTTCTGCTTTGTTTTGCAGTCCCTCATTTCCAACCAGATCCTTAATCCAACATGCTGCAGCGG